GGCCGGGGCCACCGGTGCCGCTAGGGTCTCCCAGCCGAGCGCTGTGGCAAGCGAGCCCCAGGTGGGAGGGTAAGGCTGCGAGGCCCTTCAGCCCGTTCTGACTGATGCTGCTGTTTAAATAGCTGCAAGAATATTTTTAGGGGTCCTAACAAACTGCTGAGAATTGTTGCAAACACAAAACCGAATGTGTTTTCACCTAATAAAAAACCTGAAGTGCTGTGTTTTTCTTTCCAGGAACTTCCGCTGTGACTGTGGAAATAGCAAGTTCAAAAATTTGCAGTGCAAGTTACTCCCAGTAAGTTCAGACATAGGTTTCATACCCACAGAATCAAAATAACAGTCTTGGGAGGTTGGTGCTCAGCCATCTCATGCGAGTGCTGACTCATGCGATGCCTCTGCTTTTCCCGGCAAGTTAAACAAGGTGGGAGTATTACAGCCGGAGATGAAACTGTTGAGGGACCGAAGGGAAATGTTGCGAGGAGAGAGAGCGTTTGATCCTTGTCATCCACGAATGCAGCAGTTCTGCATCCACAGTCGGCGCAATGCCAGAAGCGTGTCGCGGTGCCTGCATCTCATTAGCTTTAAGCCGACTTCAGGAGAACCTTTTGGGGTGCAGTTTTGCAGTTGCATTAAGGAAATTGAAGGTTGTGCTGCTGTCAAAGGGACAGTTCCGTCCCAGTCTTCGTGGTGGCATTAGTGCCCTAATCTTTTTTGATAGTCTGTCACCAGAGCCTACTGATGGGATTGGTTTTCACTGTATTAAGCCCCCTGTGCTTTCATACTTAGAGGGCATTTTGGACTTGTCAGGTAGTTGGTAATCTGGGAAGCAGTGATAGGAAGCTGGTTGGCTTGCCTGCAGTGCTGCTCCTGGGGTAGTAACAATCCCCATGTAGAAACAGCAAGTGGGTTTGTGTGTGCCCATTTTGTTCTGGCAGAACGGGGATGGATCCAGAGCTACTCAGCCTAGGGCTACAGTCCAGGGATCCCTACAGGGGCACCTGTGACATTTTTAATATGTTACTGTTTCTCACTTAAGTCAATGAAATGGATCACGTTGTTGTTCTTCCTCCTTCAGTTCAGTGCAAAATCGATTGTACAGGTTAAGTGACCTTCAGCATCCGTCCATTAATCTGGCTGCCTTCATGGATGCTGGGTGCTCGCATCATCTGTTCTTCCTTTGTCAGAATAGTGTAGGAAGTGTTTCGTAGTAACATAAATGGTCACAGCTGTTTCTGCAGGGACCAAGAGTGGCCTTAGGCTGGAACTACGTGCAGTTCTGAAGCCCTCTGGCTGCAGCTGTATTAGCTGTTTTGGTTTTGTTTTTTTTTAAACAGGATTACCTGTAATTGAATTTCATTCAGCATGTTTTGTAATTTAGATAATCTTCTGCAGAGTGAGGCTTACATGACATGAATTTAGTGGAAGCTCAGTGGTAAGGTTAAACAAAGTTGGGTTGGGATCACAGTCTGGATGTTTAAAAAAAAAATGGAGGGGAAGGTGCACAGTAAATCTGCAGCCGTTACTATAACAGCAGCAGGCAGGCGTGGTTCAAAACTCTTACATCACTTTAGATTAGCAGTAGCTTAACAAACACCACAGTTGCCATTTGCTACAAAGGTGGACAAACTGTTTTTCCTCTTCCCTTTTGAACCTTGGTATTCCTCACGTGCCCTATCTGCCGCTCACTGTATAGCATAGGTGTCTGGCTAATACCTTTCTTTTTGGATCTTCAAGCTGATGAGTATAATGATTGCTTTTAGGAATTGAAGTGGAATAGGAATTGGGTTTTTCTACATTATTGATGTTTTCTGTCTTTTGTTTTTCGCTGCATTGTCTGTTGAGACATCTTTTTCCTTTCCTCCTAGGAAAAGGGGAAGGTGAATTCAGGAAATAAGTATAATGACAATTTCTATGGATTATACTGTATCTGTAAAAGACCTTATCCTGATCCTGAAGATGAGGTAAGAAATACAGAAACATATTAATCATATATAGATGCTGTTTATGCAAAATATTGTGCAAAGGGTGGTCACTGAGCTGCTTTGCAGGGAAGATTCCACTCTAAGAAATCTTATGTTCCATATTGCTTTTCGTTGTCATGCGCTGTATAAAGGAGTTACTTTATCGGTTTTTTTTAAATTGTAGAATATGTTTATGCTTTAAAGATGGATGAGGAGGACAAACCATCACTTGGACAAACCACTGCTGCAGTTCTCTCTGCTTTCCTCTCTCTAAAGTTACAAGAGTTCCCTTAGGGAGTGGGTTTCTCATCATCTTGAGAAATGTGGCAAGCGCAAAATAAATGCATTGGACATATTGGGAGAGATCAGAATCTGCTTCTTCATGCCCACAACAGTGCTCTGACAGGGCTTTAGGGATGGGGAGAGTCTGTCCTGCAGCTTTGTTTTAGGGTAGTCAGAACACTTTTTCTCTGTCTGAAGTATGAAAATATACCGCTTGGTTTGCACCCACCCGCACGCTTTTGTTTGCGGTCATAGAAGTTAGGTGCTTTAAAAAGGAAGGCACAAGTCGTTCAAATACAAAGAAGTATTTTATAAACTCACCTCTCTGAAGTTCAGAAATAGCTAAACATTTCTAAAGAAATCATTCATAATTTGATAACAATGCAGTTTGTACTGCACTGCCTTGTGGACAGTTAAGTTAGGATTCTGGCATTCCTATATAATCCTGATGACATCGTGGATATCAGTATCTTCCTTTTGCTGAGATGCCTGTTCATGCATTTCTGTTCACAGGAAGAAAGATACCAATAGCGTATAAACTTTTATCAGCTCTTTTGTGTGAGAATGCCTTGCTCTACTGAGAAAAGTTGTTTTGTAGTAACAAATGGGAGTCTCCATAGTCTTGATAATACGACAGATTGCATGTGCTGTTGAACTTCAAGGAAGCAAACTGACTATTGAAGCAGTAACTAATTATTAATGGCAGCTCCCTGTGGGTGGGTGAAGAGGAAAATGCAATTCACTTGAGCAGGCTTCGCCTAATGCTGCAGCTAGAGGCTTGTGAAAGATTCTGGAAGTTGCTATTAATGCTAATAATATGACCGTTCATCTAGATTCCAGATGAGATGATCCAATGCATAGTTTGTGAAGACTGGTTCCATGGAAGGGTAAGGAAACTATTAAGGAGCGGAATTTCCATTTGCTAAGACATAAGTTAGTGTTGGTTAAGTTTTGTATGGTTATTTTTGTGTGGGAAGGTTTGCTGTAGTTCTCCAAAGATCAGTATGTGACTTCTAAGGTATTTCTTTTCATGCTGTGCAAAGGAATATTGAAAGCTTAATCTTGCACTGCTGTCCACTCCAGTCCAGCAAGCCCAGGAAGAGTTCTACATTTTTGAAGGTTACCACTGGAGAATGAAAGAATTCTTCAACTGTCTCTTTAATTGGAAAATTCTAATCAGGACAGTCATCGAGAAAAAGATTCTTGCTGAGGCACATCATTATCAACTACCTGAGTAGTCCTTCATTCAGAAGAATGTTTTTTAAACTGTAATTGCTTTAAGTAGCAAGGAACAAACGGGGCTGTTAGTTCCTGATTATGAACTTCAGGAGAAATCTTTTAAAAGCAGCACAGCACTTCAGTGAGTGCCCTACTTAATGTGTAAGCATTGAGGATTCAGCAGCCTCTTGTGCCTCGAAGGGCACGAGTGAAATTCCATGTTTGACGTTGCAGGATCAAAGAATGAAAAAAAAAAAAAAAAAAAGATGACTGGCTTCAGTTATGGGTTCTGTAGATAAATTGTAGGATTCTCTTGTATAAATGTATGTATGAAGAACATTATGCTACATACTGTGAGCTTTGCAAGAATGCTTTTCAAAACAAAGCCAGTCAGTGCTTTTAATAGCCTAAATAGTTCTCACCAGTTTCTGGAGAGCTTTGGGACCTAATTCTTCCCAAGTTCAGTATGGGATCAATATGAAGACTTATAATCTCTTACATGTAAGGAAGCGATCATAAAAATTTATTTAAGAGTTTAAATGTGCAGTGTGCAAGAGGTGCCTTCACCTGCTCTATGTTTGGGACAGTTTAGAAGAATGTCATTTAGAAATGAGACATAGGGCTGAGATTTCTGGGTATGCAGAAGGCATAAAAGGCTATAGACAAAGAGAGAATTATTTCAGTTTTTCCCTGGAATTTTTATCCGCTTTTCCCAGTCTTTAAATTATACTCTGATAATCATTGTAGAAAGCTAGCAGAAGTGTATGCTTGAGCCAAAATGTAATGGCAGTTGATATTTTGCTTCCTCTAAACACAGACTTGAGTCTGTTAATTTGCAGCGAATGCTTCCTTGCTGCGTGCTTGTTTCTTTTTGACAGCATCTTGGTGCAGTTCCCCCTGAAAGCGGAGACTTCCATGAAATGGTATGCCAAGCCTGCATGAGTCACTGCCATTTCCTGTGGGCCTATGCGTCGCAATTAGCAGGTAAAGAAAATTAAGATACCTGAGCCAATATTTCATTAGCATGTGCTTCTCATACATGGTCGATTAATGACATAATACTGGAGTGGTTGGAGAAATGATACTCATTATATTGGACAATCTCTTTCAGCAGTGGAACGAGCAGAGCTGCAGTAAATGTTCTGTAAAAAAAAAAAAATGCAGTTCCTGTTCCTAAATCTTAATTCTGTGGTGCTCACTCTTTTATTTATTTTATCAAAGATGTGCTAGCACATAGATGGCTGAAGATGTAACGCTTGTCTCAAGGAACTTGATTTCTAAACTGGATCAAAGAATTCAAGAACCATCCTAAGGGAAGCAATGAGGCAAACAACTGAATCTGAGAGGCTCTGAGCAGCAAAGAGTGCATGACAGAGCGACCTGAAATGAATGTGTAAAACCTTAATCTGAGTAGAGCTGGGGCTGTGCTCAGGACACGCGTTCCCTGCGGTCACATGAGGCCTCTGTCTGCTCTGTGGTCACTGCGGGCTCAGAAGGGGAGATGATTTGATGTCTGTGGAAAGAGGTGGTTTCAGCATAGTCCCCTAAGTGTTGCTTGTATCAGCTGGTGCCAGAAATTTCAATGGTAATTTTAAGGATTCCAAGCTGACCTGCCTGGAGTTCTCTTCCTTCTAATGCAAATATGGTACGGAATGGGGGGGTTGGTTTGGTTTTGGTTTTCTTCCTTCTAACCAGCTATGTCACAGGGTACACATTTGAATTGACATTAACAGAAAAACTGGTTTTAAATAAGGAAGCGGTTAGTGTAGTTAATGTCATGGAGTTTTTGGTGTGTGTGTCTGGAAAAGATGAAGCAGTCTGACTCCCCCTGCCATAGCTGTAAGGGGCGTCAGGAAGGACCAGCATCTTAATACAGAACTATCTGAAATTGTGATACCCTTTTCCCTCTCCTAAGGTTTAGATTTTGGGAAGCAGAGTATTTTAGAATAGGAATATGAGAGGTCACCACGCTATAGTGAAAGAGGGAGTGGCTTCTTTGTATACCTCAGTCATTGAGTCTTCGGAGAGCTGTAGAACATATCCAGGACCCTGCAGTGTACGAGGTGATCTGGGTGCAGTGTACGAGGTGATGCTGCACTGTAAAGCAGAGAGAACGCCTGTGGTAGCCCGTACGTTGCCTGGCATGGTATTTTCACTTACATGGGTGTGTATCTTCCAGTTCCTGCTTTGACCAAAGTGAACTCCCTTGAAGATGAAGGGATTGTCCTGAAGGTTGAGGAAAGTGAAGAGCAGAAAAAAGAAATAAAAAGAGAAAGTGGAGTGGAACACCAAGAAGTGAAGGAGGAAAAGCAAATGGAACAGTTTAATGAACCATCCACTAGCTCTGGGTCTGCCTGTCCAGAGGTAAAACGGACCTTCTTTTCTGTCTTGTACGTCTTCATCCTGACGATAGGTGAAGTAAAGCCCACTTCTTTCTGTATAGGTTCAGTGATGAGGTAAATACTTTCATTCTGTTTCTGTGTTCCTCTTCAGTCACTGACACTTCAAATGCGCGTCTCTGTGGAGCACAGCGTAGGCTGTGGATGCGCTTGTAGAAGTGGGTGACCAGAGCGTAGCCTCTGTTAGCAGCTAGGTTGGATCCATCCCTTCTTGTCGGCCACCTGGCCTTTACGCTGTGGTGACTTCTGAGTTTGTTCTAATACAGGGTGTCGTGCCTTGTAGCTGCATTTGCATGGTAGTCCAGCTCTGATTTCTTACACGTTCATGGCTATTGCAGTACATTTCTGCAGAAATGTCCAGTGGAAACTGCTAAAACCGCACCGGAATCCTCATGTGTATGACATGGTAATACGGGTTGTTTATAAAAATAAGTATGTCTGAGACAAAAGAAAAATGTTGCATAAGGAAAATGACAGGCTGGAAAGAATGGAGAGTATTTGAAGTGATGTTATAGAGCACTGAACACTCATTTTAATTCAGGTAGTTACTAAGAGTGAGGAGCCAGTCTGCAAGCTGAAAGAACTCCAAAGCAAGCAATTCTTAAAAAAAGGTACTGCCACCTTTTGGCCATTGAACTGGAGAAGCAAGTTATGCACCTGTGAAGACTGTTTGGTACGTATTCTCTCTTCATTACCATTGTTGACATGGGGGAGGCAGGGGGGAGCTCCCAGAGGATCTCTGAAGGGAAGTTTGTAGATAAAATCTGTGCAAATGTTCTTACTGTGTCTATAAACACCTAAAACCCCTTCCACCCCACATGAAGAAACACACTGAATCCTTTGGAATTAATACAGCACGAAGGAGCTCCTGAACGCTTGTATTTTCTTTACTGCTTAAGTCCAGTATTGCTTGGGAAGTCATTACAGGGACATGTCTGAAATGCTGGATACAAAATGTACGTTATTGCTTTTATTGTTACTTGTGATACCGATCACACAAAGGATTGGGTGAGAGCATCTCCATCCAAGAAGTATTGTAATATAAAAGCAAATTTTACTTTATTCTCCAGAAAATGTATTCAGAGCTTGAAGTCCAGTTCCTGACGGATGAATGTGACACTGTCTTGGCTTACGAAAATAAAGGTACCAGTGACCAAGAAGCAGAGAGGAGAGACCCCTTAATGGACACCCTTAACAGCATGAACAGAGTCCAGCAAGTAGAACTCATCTGTGGTAAATACGACTTCATTTTTAGAACCTGCCTTAACGTTTTAAGTGAACAGTTTCCCATACGAGATTAGTATCAGGTCTTGCAGTGTGGTGTCAAACTGTTTTTGAAGTGACATGTAGAAGATTGTATGACAGATTGCACGCCTCAGTCAGGATTACTCTAGAGAAGTTTGTTCTCTGTGGCCACAAATCTAACTTACATGGAGGAACTAGATGGTGTGGCAACTTTTCCCCCATTTAACCTCTTAGACAGTGTACTGATGGTAATTTCTTGTAACGGGAGTAGTTACAAACATTCATTTGCCATTCTGCTGTCTGGCTTATTTATCTTACCCCGATCTGTTGTTCAGCTATCTCCTGTTGTCTGGGGGGTGCCAGCCAGCATGAAGCTGGGGTCCAGGCTGCTCCTGGGCAGCTCTGCCACAGAGTACATTGATGAGGCAGCATTTTGCATCTGGAGCCGTGTTTCCCTCCTCTGAGCGAGGGGTTTGCACTCTGGCAAGGACACTTGTCCAGTCCTGAGCTATGGGCTAGGACTTGCCACCGCTACCCACATGTGCTTTTGCAGCAGGGAGCTGGGAGCAGGGGCAATCTTTTAATTAATTGTGCTAATTCACTCACTGAACTTCTGTACATTTCTCTGAAGATCAACCCAAACATATAGTCAGACTGCATTAGGCTAGTCTGATAAATTATTAGGCTTCTCATGTTTACCTGGACTTGCCTTTCTTTTTATTATTATTATTTATAATCCAGTTCAAACCTAGATTTGTCTCAAGTAAACCTAACGAGTTACAAGAGGAAGTAGAACAAGTTGTCTTTTTGAGACAGTGTTAAACTAAAGCTGGGTATCATCTTGGTTTTTGTCTCTTCTTCCCCTCGCCTTTGCTTCTCCATCCAGAATACAATGATTTAAAGACAGAACTGACTGACTATCTCAGGAGATTTGCGGATGAGGGAACGGTAAGGCGCAACTCGCAGAATTTGTTTGCCAGAAAATGTGTTTTAAAGTACTGTTGAGGGGTGGGTGCTGAATACTATAGTGCTGCAGTGTAATATTCTTTTCCTGTCTCTTGGAATTGCTGGTACTGCAGTAGAAATTAAGAGATCTTGGATTTCATTGGAATGTAAAAGTTCTATTTCCTTAATGACATTGTTGAGCGATACCTGGGACCTTACAGAAATCTGTCTACAAAGTACTGAGAGGAGTTCTTAAGTTTAAATGAAATTTCTGTTGCTCTAGGAAAAGTATTCAGAAAAAAAAGCTCTTAACCTTTATGTTTCTTCTTAGAATCACTTTAAACCTGTAGAAGAATAAGGACTGACTAAATATTGGTCAAACAAAGTGTCTTGTCAGTTGTTTTCTGGAGGAATTTGCATGCTGTTATTAATCAGCATTTTGTTGGCTTATTTGCTAAATTGCCATTCTTAAGTTACATTGTAACAAGTCTGCAGTGAGCTAGTAAAAATCTTGCTTTGTGTTAATTTTTCTGATGCTTAAAAGCAGTTGTTCAAACTCATTAAAAATACCATCAGGAGCTCTGCTCCCTGTGCTTGATTTGCCTTTGGGGAGCTTGTTTCCCCTCTTTGTCTTCTTTCACAACGAATTTTGGGTGTTGATAAGTCTCCTTTGGGCACAACAGGATACTTGCTTTGATGTGCTTTTGTGTACTACACCTGGGATGCATGCAAGAGGGAAAAAAAAAAAAGGCTCATTTAATTGAATTCTTGTACCACAACTTGGGTTTCCTATTGCTTCCCCCAGGTGGTTAAAAGAGAAGACATTCAGCACTTCTTTGAAGAATTTCAGTCACGGAAAAGACGACGGACTAACAGGATGCAGTACTACTGTAGTTAGACTGAGAGGGTCAGGGTCTGAAAGGAGAACTGGGAAAACAGTATTCATTGGCAACAGAAGAGGCATCTTCGGTATTCGGCTTCTCATCAAAACCCAACTGTCCGAGAAACGTCTCATTTTGTCTCACTTCCTCTCTTTGTAGCGACTAAAATGTGTTCTTAACAGGTACATTGCATTTGTGGGGATTTCAGTACTGATCCACCTTGCATTCCCGTGAAAGCTGGCCTTGTCTCAAGGGAGCGGATGGCTCGTTAGGAGACCAGCATGCCGCTGCGCGTTCCCTCTCACCGACTTTACTTTCAGTGCCTATAGCTGTGCGCTGTACTAAACCGGGGCGGGGGCCGCCCTCCTGTATGGTGCAGGCACTGCACACCCGCTCTGCTTCGCAAGACCGGCCTGCGTTGCTTTCCTGCTCAAAATGGCTCTGCACCCTCTCCTCGGGGCGTAGCGATCCTAGCGAGGGCTCCCGGCACCAAGCGAGTGTCTGTCCCCTGCACGGAGGGCGGCGCGGCTCCTGACGGGGTACAGCAGGCGTCTGGGGCGAGATCGCAGCTGTTGGGCGAGGTTGCGTTCTAACGTCTGTTACGCATCAGGCGAAGGAAACAACACCCTGCTTCCGTGTCCCTGCTCACAGCAGCGGAACTGCTCCCTAGGCAGGTGAAAAATGAGAAATCACAGGTTTGGCTTGATGTAACAGAATGTGCTGGGTTTATAAATCCAAAACCTTTGTTTCTGATATTGTACAGTGATGTTTTACACGCAGAAATTTGTCACATGAACTTTATCTGCTCACTAGCACATAAACAGTATCCAATTACAAATTAAGCATTGGTGAGGAAGTTTGTTACAGGACTTCTGATCTGCTTTGATTTTAAAAACTAGCCTGCTGCAAACCATTCTACTTCATAAACCTGCCTGAAAGCACTGCAGCAGCCTGGCATTTTGCTACCGTACAAAACGTGATCTTTTTATAATCACTGTGATAATCATGGAACAGGAGACATTTCACTGACTTTTAAGAATCTACACTTAAGTACAATGAAATATTGACTTATCCTAAGTTTGGAGCCTAAAGTAGTTTTTAGTTTTCTTTACCCACAAACCCCAAAATGTGCTTTAAGCAAGTTCTAATTTTTAACTCCTGCTTTATGTAGTTGGAGGATTTCTTTACCATGGGGTACTATTCTGCTTCCCTGTTAATGACTTTTGAGAAGAAAATCAGACCTTTTATCTGTCATTCTCCCTATTACTTCTTTCTGACCGCTTTACTTACAAAAGCTAGTTCTAGCATAGAGGCTCACTCCGTCAGTTTGTTTCATGCAAAATGAGTAGTTGCTTTTAAATTCAACTCTGGGTATTGTATGTGCTTTTTTTTTTTTTTGTAGCAACCGTTACGGGAGTTGTAACTGCATATCTAACTGAAATATCTAAAAATTAAAGAACTCTTCAATCTGTACCATTGTGGTTTTTTGAAATGCTGCTGTAGGGGGCTGTGTTCCTCCAGCACCCAGGCAAGTGCCAGGCAGGGCCCTGAGGGCCTGTTCCCCCTGGGGCCAAGGCACCTCTGGGGGCCAAAGCCCCGTGTTCCTCCCTCTTGGCCTCCTCCCTGGCCCAGCGAGGGCTGGCCTCCCGCCTGTAAGTACAGCCTGGTGCAGGAGGGCAAGCAGCAAGGGACAACCTTCCCCTTCCCACTGTCCTGGGGTTCCTGTCACTGAAGGGGCAGTGTCCCCAGGCGGGCGCTGTCCTGGCTTCCAGCCCACATTGCCCCAAACTGAAACCCCAGGGTGCCATGTTGCCCTGTTCTCCCCCAGTATATTAAAACAGCAGCAGCTACCAGGGCACAGGGACATATGACCTGCAGCAAGGCCCCGTCCTCCCACTCCCTGTGCTCAAGCAGCAAGGGAGGAGTTCAGCTGGAAGAAGTTTTTTGAAGCAGAAGTTGGCAGACTTTGAAGAACGCTGCTGCAAAGCGAACAGAAAACCTGCAACAATAAATGTTAAACTTGCTTAGTTTAGGATGTTGCTCCTAAAACTCCCCTTCCTGGCTGCAGAATGAAGAAGGTGTCCATAATGAACACGAGAGACAGCCCAGGACCCGCTCTCTCCTCACCCCACTTCACATCAGCACATAACCCGTGGCACTTTGCTGATGGACATCAAAGCAAGACTGGTCGAGATTTTCTGCTGCTGGGTGACACTTCCAGACTTGAGCCCTGTCTTTGAAGCAGCAAAGCACTTGATTCTGTGGAAGAGATTTAGTGATTAATCAGATGATGCAGGGCCACCGCCACTCGAGAAGAGAACACTGGGTACTCAGTGAGTGGCTTTGTCCCAGCTGCTCGGCTGAGAACATAAACCCTTCCTAGATCAAGGGCTACGTCCCACGGCCTTGACTACAGGTAATGCTATTGCCTTCAGTCCTGAAGAGTCTCAGCCAGTTAAGCTCTAGCCAGAACTCCCTGGACTATTTCACTGAAGCGCTCTTCCTTTTTAATAAGCTGCTTGAACAGCGCCACTGATTTTTGAATTCCTCTTTTTACACTGGTTTGCCCCATATCCTTGACATTCAAAGCATTATTGTGTCGTCCCCCCCCACTCTTCCCCCCCTTTTTTTTTTCCCCCCTACAAGGAACAAACCTTGTCAGTTTTAAGAGCCCTTACTACTTGAGGGCACCTTAAGGTCTGTATTAAACCGTTCCTTTGCTCTGGCCATCAGTCAGGCAGGAGCTGGGAAAGCGACGGCACAGTCCCTCCGGGCAGCCGGCTGGTGACGTTACACGGAAGGAGTCGCACAGGCACATTCTATACAAGCCGTTTATTTGAAATGCCAACTATACGTAGGATAAAGTCAGTGTTACATGCTTCTCAGCAACAGTAGAAAAATAGAACCAGTGAAAACCTTTTTACAACTGTAATGGTACTCAAAAGAGAAATGTATTGTTTTACAATGCATCACACAAGACTAGAATTCAAGTTTGGAGGTACCTAAATAAAAATACTATTTTTTTTTAAAAAACACTATGTACAATTGAAGCGTAAACAAGTTTTACAAAGTACTGGTTATGCAGGTTGTAGAAAAAACACTTGCATAGGACATGAAGTCAGTTTAAGAAAGTTTTCTGAGCCTTTAGCATTGAAGGCACTTGACTTTATACCAGTAACAACACAAGGACAAGGAACAAAACCGTAACGTTGCCGAAGGCAGGGCTACCTCCTGGCAGTACAGGTAATTACAGAACCCCTAAATACGGTTTTACAATTTTATGTCTCAGCTGTTGCCTGCGTTCAGCAGAGCTCAGCACCACCTCTACCATAGAAGCATATAATTATTAGAAGAAAGAACAGTGCCTCAAACAGCACGACTATTCTTTCAAAAAAAAAAAAAAAACAAAAAACAAAACCCAACCAAAAAACCAAACCCCAAAACAAACAAATCAAAAAAAACCACCCACCAAAAAAAAAACCCAAACAAAAACCCCAAACCCCCAAAACTCCCCACCAGATCCAAACCAAAGAAACCTGTAAGACAACATTTGGGACATTCCAGGACCAAGAAAGGCTTACAAGTACGGGTGGCCACAGCCTTAACTTTCAGAAATGAAACTCCAAGAACAGGAAAAATACAAGAAACTGCCAATCAACACAGCAGTTAACACACAGCTACAGTAATTCCATGGAACAACAAAACATTTCAAAGGAAGAATCTGTTTCAGGAATTAAGTTATTCATCCATATATTAAGGAAAAGAGGAGGAGGTCAGGGAAAGGGGAATAAGAAGTTTTTGCATGTTGCTCACTAAATGGAAGTCTGAGCTCTCTCTTTACTAGAAGAAGGAGCACAAGTCTTCCTCATCCATGAAAACTTAATGTTCACACCTCTATCCTCAAGCAAAAGACAGACAGTATTCTGTCACCTCCATCAAACTTACAGGAGGAAAAGATGTTGATTCCCAACCTCATCGGAAAGTGCTTAATGTAAACAAGGAGCTTCTGCACCAAAGTTTCAGTAGACAGAGAACACCACTTAGGAGCAGGCAGCACAGGTGTGCTCTGCGTGAGATGCAGCATGAACACCAGCTTCTGAATAATGCTTCCACGAAGAAGAATAAAGACTGCCTCTCTCCCCTCCCTCCGCACGTGCAGCTAGGTAGGAACTCCTAAGCTGCAGGACAAAAATACAGCTCCGGTAATTTGACAAATCCTTCTTTTCCACTTTGAAGCAGCTGCCATTAGCTGCTATCTTCCCAACTCAAAATACATGAGTGAAAATGCAGATTGTCTACATGGACTGATTGTCTTTGTGGCCTCAGAAGGAATTCATCTTTTATTTTGCACCTACTTTTAAACACTTTTCTATTTTTAATTCTCTTTTTAATACTGCTCAGCTTCTAAGATTTCAGAAGCAATTTTTTATTTTAAAATGCAGACATGTCCTGTCCCCCCCAGGCATTTCTCACAGCTTATTCCAAAGCCAAAGCATTTCATGATTTCCCTCAAGCCATAACCTCAAAACTTCTCAGTCTTCATCAGCCACATCCCCACAAATTTCAAGCTTAAAAGTTACGTCTGTAGATTTCAGCCCTGTCTCTGTCCAAGCACACAGTGCCACATCAAACTGTGGTAACTAAAATAGTTTTCCCAAAGTACATCTACTGCTTTCAGGTAAAAATAAATTATCCAGAATAGCGAGTTGTTAGAGGACAGCTATGACTTTTCAGTAATTAAGCTACCAACATACATGCGATACAAGTGCATGGAGTTTCAGGGGGGTTGTGTGAGATGAAAGTTAATGCTTCTAGTGCTGGTGAGCATGAGACCCCAGTGCCTGGTTAGAGCTACGCAGTCAGACAGCACCATGCTCAAATCTTCAGAAGAAACCCAAAGAACCTCAGTCCCTAACCTGCAGCAGCACCGTCCCCCCACTGACACCTTCTTGCATTTAACCATGCTGCAGTCCCATGGAAATACTACATATTGGCGATGGGGCCAGGACCATCAGGTATCTTGGCTGTGGTCAAAAAAACAGATTAAAAAGTTTGACAGAGGGGAAGAAGTCAGCCAACCAAGAACCAAACATCTCCCCTCACCCACAAGACCCATCACCTGCACAGTTTAGCCAAGCGTCTCCTCCAATCCTACACCACCCCTTCCATGGCTGCACCTCATGAGGAGCATCTGCAGAGCTTTCACAGAAGCAGGAGGCCTACAGATGTGTATGCAGGAGACATTAGGATTTATTGGCTAAAACACCCATATCTTCATTTATCTAGAAGCTATTTGGTAGTTTGGAAATGCAGTATTTAATATATTTCAGTAACGTTGAGTTGTTGTTACCAGGCCCTGCATACTTTAATGAAACAGGTTAGGTAAGAGCCTGCCATCAACTAAAACTAAAAGTAAAGTTGCAGCAAAATTTGTGTTTAAACAGTATTAAGCATTTTCAACTGCTGGAAACAACCTAACCTTAAAGTAGTCCTTAGGTCACACTTGGGATTAAAGTTTTCTGCTACAAAGAAATCCTTCATTACAGAAACCACATTTAAAAAAAACCAAAAAAAACCCCAAACAGGCCTTTACCAGTAATCACTACACTGCAGTGGCATCGGATCCCTATCCTAAATGCAATAAATCTGTGGTAAAAACTGCATGGTAAGTATTAAGGATGCACTTAATAATTATTAACTGTTACACCTGGTGCATTGCTTAACCCCAAGCCAGTGGCAGGGAGCCAGCCCAGATCACTATCATTCATTCCCTCTTCATATCCTGAACCTCATTTCCGTGCTTTAAAAAAAGCAAAGTTGGGAAGTGAAAGTGTAATTTAAGAGTGCTAAAGCTTTGCACATTTCATGATGCTAGAGCAGTTGCTCTTCACTTTGATTTTGTTCACAGAACAGCTGCAATTATGAAGTCAGCAACACTTCAGATCAGGTAAGGAACACTGAATGACATCACTAAGAGTGAAGCCCTTTTTTAATCATAGGCAGGAGAAAGCAAGGCAATGAGCAGTCACCTCAGCACCTCTGTTGGAGAGGGGAACCCTCGCAGGTGGGGGGTTACCATTCAGGCAACAGCGAAGATACTACGCCTCATCTTCCTGGCACACCAGGATTTAGCATGAACCCTCAACTCCAGTCTTCACTTACCCCCACGTACGGGTAGCTGGAAGAACAAGTTATTACTAGCATTTTTACAGTATTTCTAGATTTATTTCTGCATGGGCAAATGAACAATCCTAGTCTGTCTAGTAAGTGCTTCTGGGTGATCGTGGAGTTCTCCATGGTCACAGCTGAACCAGAACACAAACAGAATCAGACTATCAGATCCCAGTGAATTTCACTGGAATTTGGACTCCTAAATATCCCCCTGGACTCTTAAAAAACCAATTATAGTTCTTGAAGTGGGCTTGCTATATAAGGGTAAGACCAGCTGCCAGAACTTTTCAAACAAAACAGACAGAATTCTTGCCGTAGTTGTAAAAATCAGGAAGATTTCAGATCTAAACAAATAAACAAAAAATCTAACTAAAAATGTAGTATTTTGATGTGCTGTTCTTTGGAATTCCTATAATTAAAAAATAAACGCATCGTTACTATCTCATAAGAAAATACACTTCGTAATGTGCAACCCAATGCACATAGGGAATTGGCAGGTGAAAGGGAAAAATGCAAAAGTATGAAAATACAGTCCTTTAAATGTGACAATAAAGTTCAACATATTAGTACAAAACTAATACACTAAAATAGATGTAGAGGTGCAAAAGGCTACCAGGTTGTAGAAAAAAAAAAGGTACCAGCTTTTTTTTTTTTAAAGGCTTAATTAAATTTGCTGAAAAAAAAAATCCCACAAAATAAAACCAGAAGCAGCATTAAAAATAAACTGATAACATGCTGTCTCTACTAAAGCAATGTATGTACAAAAGAAGTGAATGAAGCTGAATTTATCCGCTGGCATGAATGGATTTGTCTGACAGAAGTCAGGCCAAAAGTTGCAAAGAATGGGATGTTTACAACTCTTAGGCACAGAGAAATAGTGGAGGTTGCTTTCATAGGGCAGATTTTTTATACAGGAAGTCTGGTTTGTTTGGAGACCTCCTTCCTCTGCTTACTGCATCTTCCCTTTCCAAATCTGAATTTCTCTGTGCTCCATGTTCCAATGGCTCATCGTCTGCCAGTCTCCTAGTGGGCCTCTCTTCTTGCATTTCAGAAGTGTATGCAGAGAGCGAAGGTCTGTTGGAGGTTAGCCCATAGGTTAAATCGGTTTCCATTTTTGTTCTTCCCCTGATGTGAACTGGGCCATTACCAGCATTTTCCTGGGTAGCCAACGCCAAGTCCAGTCGCTGGGGAGGTTGTTCTAAGACATCGAGGTGTATTGGCTCATTCTTTTGTCTGTGTTGATGCCCATCTTGGGAGAGCAGGTATTCCCTCCTAGAATCCTCTTGCTTTTTAGGAGATATCTGGGAAGGTAGGTAGGCTGACTTTAAGCCACTTGGTGATGCCTTATTGTGGCTATACAAATCTGGGCCAAAATATATGCCTTGTGAAGGCGAAGGGCTGTGCCTGTGTCAGGATATTCCTTCTGATTTTCTCGAACATCTATTTTTTGCTCTATTGCATGTTTCTTTCGAGAAGTGGGCATGTGTCTGTTCTGAATACATGAAATGTGCTGGGGTGGACCAGGCCCTACCTCTGTAACCGTCTGGCTTAATTCTGTGTCGACAGTGAGCTCTGGTAATCTTCTGTCTTTTAAAGACATTGCTGACACACCCATTGCGATATCTGGCATCAGTTCATTTAGCAACGGCTGAGTACACTGGAAGAGAAAAGAAATTTGTCCACAAAAGCAAAGCAAAAGCTAAACACAAACTGTATTTAGGATGGTTTCTGTAATTCAAAATAGCATTTTCCTTATCTATCTTTGCCTAGACCAACCTCAGCCTGCAAGTTTCCTACGCTGTTTAAAGAACACATGTATCCTCCAACCTTCACCTTCCTGCTAGCTTAAGACTACTTTCCTTTATGAAGCTGTTGTGCCACGGAAGTACCTTCTTCAACGCATCCAGTCCTGAATATGCAGTGACAATGTACTGTTAAACTCTCAAAAGGAAAGCCTGCTTTAAGCCACTTACGATTACCAAACTAAACAAGGTACTGTGTGCAGAACTTAACAAATGGTTTGTTATAGCACACAGTTCCACTACAGGGATGCCATGAAACGTGTATTTTGTCACTATACACGCAACGCCTCTGCTTGCATCTCATTTTAAAGTTAATTGAATGCACACATATATATGTGAATGGCAGCCTCGGGCCTTGGGGAGCATCAGTCACTGACTAGATCCACAACGCTCATGGGAAGTCATTGCATGGCATTCTTTTCGCCTACACCTATAAGCAGCCCTGCAATGAGACAAGCATATTACAGCCTTCCAGACAGAGGAGTTAAAATTTCTACTTGTATTTATCATTTCTAATGAAAGCTATTTTAGTCATCATTGACTACTAGTAACTCACAAATTGCAGAAATAATACAGAACAAAAATATCATCCATATTAAGTCTGTGCTTCTCCTTGCATTTTTATATAAACATTTTAGTAGAGATATTTCTAATGTGAAAAAGCTGTGAAAAAGGTTGCTATATGGTTTCCTTAGTGAAGTCACTATTGATCAAGAACAAGAGGCTTATGCTACAAAAGCCCACCCTTGAACAGACAATGGAAAACAATTGTAATTTGAAGTTAAATATTTCAGGTTAAAATATGGAAAGGAGTGCAATATATTTAGGACAATTACTAAAGGGAAAACAAATAAATCCATTTTTCCATTCAGAACTCCGGATCAAATCTGCATCTAAAGAGAGGTTTTCAGTATGACACAACTGTCCACTGAGACAGGCGGAACTAAATTATCAAATTCTTTATTTAGCATTTCATGTACTTCACAAAGCTATGTCTTTGTCCAATATGTTATAGTTTGTTGTTTTCATTGCATTATATTGTAGTTCAGCAACTGTAATAATTGTCTTTAAATGCTGTGAAGACCCCCTTTTATCTGCAGTTACCAATTACTGCTTGCCTATTTTAAAGTCTTTTTCACAGCTGTAAGGCCTTCACATTCTCCATAGGTTCCCTTTATACACATCTGTTTGCTTCAGGACTACTTACCTGTGAATAGCCAAAATATCATCGCTATTTCTACCTTTGAATTACAGCATGCAGACCACTACTGAAGTTGACTTATGCTTAGTTTTAATGTAGAGCAAACTGGATTATTGCAGAATATTTGTGAGTACCACTTGTCCCTTCAAAATGCTCCCAGCCCTGGAACTTTCATTCTCCCAGGGATTAGGGCATGCCTATGGGATGCAGAAGGCTGACAGTCAGTTTGGTAGAAAATTCTTCTCCTAACTAGTGAAGATGCTCTTTCATTTAACAAAGTCAAGTTACTTCACCGAAAAAATTCTCTCCAGCTCCCCTCTATAAGTTACTTTGAGTGGCCAGAGATAGTGAGAAGAAATTATAATACTTACTACTTGCTTCTCAGCTGCCATCACTGCTGCTGCCGCTGCCACCGTTTGCCTCCCCAGACCTGTAGTGTTAGTGCAATCCGGAGGTGCTGCTTTAACGCTGGGCATGTAGACAGGCGGTGCCGCTTTGGGAGCGGTTCGGGAGTGGAACAGTGAGTGATTACACGGGTAAGAAAAGGAACGGGAGGGATGTTGACTTGGCACCCTTTGTGTCCAGCCCACTTTGAACTGGTTATGAATGGGAGTTGCTGGTGGGTGGTATGGAGGTGGAGGAGGGGGCAATGGTGGATGGAAGGCCACAAAAGAGTCCAGTTCTGTAAACATGGTTTCTGCAGTGGGAGTGCTGTTAACACGACATCGTCCAGACTGTCTCATTGTCAGGAGTGGGCTTTCGTCCCCAAATCGCTCATCAGGAAAGAATTTGTGAGGATTCTGCAAAGGAAAAAAACCCAGCATGGAACATAAAGTAGGAAGTAATCTAGAAAAATCTTGAAGGCCACAAAAGAGTCCAGTTCTGTAAACATGGTTTCTGCAGTGGGAGTGCTGTTAACACGACATCGTCCAGACTGTCTCATTGTCAGGAGTGGGCTTTCGTCCCCAAATCGCTCATCAGGAAAGAATTTGTGAGGATTCTGCAAAGGAAAAAAACCCAGCATGGAACATAAAGTAGGAAGTAATCTAGAAAAATCTTGTAAACTAACGATTCTGCAAAGGAAAAAAACCCAGCATGGAACAAAACAAAGTAGGAAGTAATCTAGAAAAATCTTCTAAACTAACACACTTTAGAACCAGAAATGTGCTAGCACTGTAAAAAGATAGTTGTGCCATCTAAAACCTCACCAACACTCACTTTAGAACCAGAAATGTGCTAGCACTGTAAAAGGATAGTTGTGCCATCTAAAACCTCACCAACACTTGGAGGCAATTATAGTTACTGTGGAATAAAGGGTTTTTTTGGATGCACCGTGTGAATAAGTTGACCAACAAATGCATTTGCTTTAACAGCAGAATACAAATATAAGTGGGATTTCCAGTTTCCCAGTCCTGATCTGTACTATGCAGATCTACTGTATCAGTTTGGACTTTTTCTCCTCTCTGATTCAAGAAAAAAAAAAAAAAAATCATAATCTAGACTTCTAGTTATGGTTTCACTATTCTCATCAACTGCCTCTTCGGCAGGTTATTTTTGTCCCCAAAATCTGTGGCAGTAAGAGCACCCTGAATGGCAACAACTCTTGAGAAAAATACTTATACGTTGCACTTGCACATTTATAAAAACCACACAAACGCAACAGTCTCACTGTAATTTGCACTTGGACAGTTCTAAAGTTATGCAGGCATTTCAAAGCGTGCACCTGCATGTGCACAAAACAGTTCTCTTGCTGCAGATTGTGCATTCAAGTCAAGTCATAAGCAGAACAGAATCGAAGCATTCGTGGTCTCGTACAGCAATTTTTCATACCTGCAGAAGTTCAGCAGCAGCATCAGAAAGTCCAAATTCCCGCAGCACACGAATCTGAATCTCATAACTGACTGTGGCGCCTTCTCCACAATTGAGAGCATACGCTCTTTGCACCTGCTCAGTATGACGTAGCTCCTGCAGCCGTTTGATCATCTCTTTGACAATGAGGAGATTGGGAACTGGAGGGATAACAGAAAACAGAATGGGGATAAGAGATTACTTTCTGAACTGTGAGATACTGAGTGTGAGTGCAACAGTTAGGTTTAATTCTGAAGGAAAAAATCTAATGTCAGACTGACCTGGCTTTTTTTTTTTTTTTCCTTTTCTTTTTTTTTTTTTTAAAGAAGCATTCTGCCCAGAACAGTTCAACTTACACATGTTCCTTGACAGCACATGGGATAACACACATATCATACAAATGGTAAAGACATAAACCATTTTTCCAGCTTCTGCTAGAGCAAGCCACAAACACAGCCTTCTTTGTAAACTCCTTATGATGCAGGAATTTTATTATTTGAGGTGGGGGCAGGATATCTTAAATAACAACCAAACATTCCCTCGTGAATTCTACAGGCCAAGAATTCATTGATTTTTTTGGCATACACTTCATGCTTCTAGTGGAATTCTATAATCACCAGACCATAATACCAGTATGTTAGCTACAGAAAGAGCATTCTGAAAAAAAAAAAAAAAATAAAAAAAAATTCACACACAAACTGTAAGCCAACATAAACCCGTTAAAGTTATGTTGGCTTATGCAGCCATATTGAAATAATTAAAAAAAAAAAAACTTTCCAAAAGGAAATAATGTATAATTTGGGGTATTTATGCTGTTGCAAAACTTTCTCATGCCACTTCTTGCTGCTGTTTGATGATGAATGATGTTTCTTTGTGGTCTTTCTGTCCTCAGGAAAATGTGCATATCATAAAAGACGACAAATCCAGACCTCTGAACATGTAAGTCCTGGCCTCTGATCCTTTATGAGCTTTACAAGTGTTATATATTACCATGACCAGATGTCTGTAATGAAAGCTCATAAAATTAACTGGATTGGACAGCAAGAGCAGTGTGAAAAGACATTTGCATTACAGAGAAGAAGAAAACCCAATACCATGCAACTACAACTGGTCCCAATTTCACAAAGTTTACATTGGTACATGAAGGATAAATGTAAGTAGCGCAAAAATATTTTTTCCCCCCAAACTGAGTTCCTGTACTAGAGGGGAAAAAAAAAAAAAAAAAAAAAAAAAGAGAATCAATTTATCCAATCGTTAAGGCTTGGAAGTAATTCTTCCACACAACCCTCCACACACTTCGATAGCTCTGAAAAATCCCGGTTTAGCAGCCAGGTATTTAGCTATGAGCATTTTGCTAATACTGAAAAAAAAGGATTTTAGAGAAGTTTGAAGCAGTTCTCCAAACTGGTATGCATAAAAATCATTTAAGTTCTTAATGAAAAAGTGCCTTCTTCTCAAGGCCAGATTTGTTTCTGCTTTTTTACTGTTATTAATGTGAAACGCATGGAAGACAGATTGCATATATAAAAACTACAATTCTCTCAAGTCAGTTGCAGGATTTCTAATTCAAACTGAAACTGGAAAAAACCTGAGGAAACCCCACTACCTGCCAAACCCAGCCTCAAAGTAGAACAGACTTCATCAGAGGTTGAACTTATTTTACAATAGTGTTGCAAGAACAGCACCAAGACAGGCTGCCAACAGCATTTATACACATATAGTCCACAGAAGATGCAAGCGACAGGCGAACACCTAAACTGTAAAGAACCCCCTGTTGTAAGAACCCGGCCTAAAGGACACGGATGCAATGTTGCCTAGCTTTCCCTCCAGCAGTTCCTGTGCTCCATCTATGCTTTGGGATGGATTCCTGTAGAAGTTACAGGTTTGGTACATGCCTGAAATCTCCTCAAATTAATTGGGCTCCATCTACCCTTCCTAGCACAAGGTATTGGCCAAAAAAAAAAAAAAAAAAAAAAAAAAAAAAGGAGTCAACTTTACTGCATAATTACAGAACTATGCAAAGCAAGCAGCTACCAGGACACAATACCTGTGCTTCAACTACTGGCCAGGCTCACAGCTAATATCCATGCTTAAATCAAAGAGCTGTCAGTAATTCCTATATATAAGGTTGTAGAGAATCAAGCTGAAGTGGAGTTTTAGATTGGGCAAGATGCTTTATGTTTGCCAACAGAGCCAGATCTTTTCAGAACATGAGAACTTTTGTAAAACATTGGAGACCTTTGAGAATCTGTTTTCTCTCTCAAGTTCTTTGGAAACTAAGAACGAGCAAAGTGTTATCAAAGTCACATCTTATGATGAAATACTTTACATTCAATTCATGGTGAGTATATTTATGCTTTTCTGTAGAGGGGGGAAAAAGTCCAAGTACCGTAATGCAATGCTGAGATACCACAGCTCTAAGTTTCTAAATAAACAGTACTTTTATCAAATTACAGAGGTTTTCAGAAGCTCCTTTTAGGCTTTATCAAGTTTCTTCCTGAATCACATGAAAGAAATAGATCAAAACCTTTCCACAAACCTTACCAGAAAAAACTTACTGCAGTGTTGAACCAAACAGTGTTTCAAATCTTCCTAACACCTCAACTTAAATCTCTTGCAGCAATTTTAACTTACTATTTTTGTCCTGGCTCTAGCATCTGTAGGAATAGTTTATCTATTTCCTTTCAACATAGTTGACTTAAGAGAGGCACAATTGGTATACAAAGAACTTATAAAATGGGGAACGGGTAATGGTGGAGGGAGGAAGAGTACTGTTTTCTTGGTGGCATGTAAGCTTTACTCCTTTTCTACAGACTCCCAAACTGATCTGTATCTACTGAAATGTGATACTTTGATCCAAAAATGGATGCCAAAAGTTTATGCAAATTTAAGGAAAGACTGCATAAGCTCATGGATTAGAAATGCATTTAATATTACTAACTACACAGAAACACCATCCACCACAGGACATCTCTGAGCTGCAAATGGTAGAAGAGCACACAGAATTTTACAGGAAATTATTTTATGTGCTTTTTCTGCTACACTTTCCTTATGCACTCACTTCTGGTGACTGCTGGAATAAGCACACTAGGCTAGACAGACAAATCCTTGACCTGACCAAGTGTGGCCATTTAAATGGCTAAACACAATGCTCCACCTGAGACCAAATTACTTCCCATGTCTTGTGGCACATTTGTTTTTGTATTTTAGTATGACTCACTACGGAATTGTCTAGTGTCGGGCTTTCAGGCTTTACTCCACAGAGCCTCCCTCAGTCTGTATTCCTTGTATGCACACAGCTGGCCACACCTACGTAAGCATAGTGTTTCCCACTTTCTTTTCTGAATTTATATTTAATCTTGGTCATTTAGCTATCTAATCCTGCCCTGTGAAACATCCACTGACCCTCCCAACTTGTCATCAACTACAAGTTTTGCCAGTGTACTCTCTATGTACACTGAGGATTAATGCGGCCAGGGAAAGGTGGAAAGAACTCGATGCTTTGGCAATCACATCAGATACATTCTTCCAGTTTGACACCAAAAGATCAAATGCATATATGACAAAATATATTACAGTAGTTTTATGACTGTATTTCCCTGGCTTGCCTATAGGGAATGTCACACCAAGTATCCTGAAGTCAAGAGAGGCTGCATCTTCTTCCACCTATAAAAAACTTCCCCTGCCACACAAGGAATGAAATCAGTTTGACTTCAAAGATAAAGTGGATTTAGTAAACTGAAGAAAAGCGTTTTGAGTGCCTATTTCCAATATTTTTCCGAGTTAAGCTGACTGCCCTACAAGTTATGCTCCCCTGGTTTTTGTTTTTAAAAGAAACCAGTATTTTGCCATTTTCCAGCTTTCCTGTTGTCCAAGATGGTTAAGTAGAAAACTGAGAACCACTCTGAGAACAGAGAGCCAGGCTCCAGCAAGTGTGCTACACTAAGTTTAACTAGTCCAAGATTTTTCAAATTGCTCAGCTGAAGCAGGTTAAAATACTACCCCCTCCAGTAGCTTACTTTCTACCTACTTACCATGCCATCCAAAAATAGTTAATGTCTTCACAGTAGACCAAAGCAAAAGTGACTACCACTGAGTGGGAAGAAGCCCAAACAGTGCAGTACTACTCCCCGAGGAAATAATAATATTGAATAATTCACATTCCCTCTCCCCTGCCCCAAGCCCCCACCCACTCACACGAGATCAGTTGGCATTGCAAGTGATCTAGCAGCCTTACCTGGGATCTCATTGGCTATAACCGAAGGAGGACTGGACTGGTTAGTGCTAACTTGCTGGTGGGTAATCATATGACAGCACTGCGGCACTGCGTTGTTTACCATGTAAAGGGTGTCGGGCACATTGGACATTCGGACCATCCGCAAACGAACGAGATCAGTCTGTTCCACCATCATCTCATCCAGTACCGACTGCAACGACAGCCATTAAAGCCCTCATGAAGTCACTGCACACACATACCTACCGGGAGCTGCTGCAAATGCAGTCCCGAGGCCACAAGTCTAGCAATGTCTAAACCATAAACTTTTCCAGGTCCCAAACAGTATTTGGCTTTTCCACAGCATTTTCTATTCCATTTTCCAGTCATGATCAGAGTTGAGTTTCAGAGCTAGGAGCAGGCAGGTGAATACAGTTTGGGAAGGTTGCTTTTTTTATTTTGTACCTGTCAGATTGGAAGTAACCTTCTCAAGGCTAGATCCTCTGGACTCTGTCTCAGACAATTACTGCCTAGAGGTCTCAACTCTCTGTGCCATTGAGTAGAAGGCACTAGTCTGAAAATGAAATGTGTTTCCCTCAGATGTCTTAAAGAAAGGGATTTACCCATACCCTTTTAAGATTCTCATTTAATATTGATTTATTTAAAGAAAATATATGAGGCTAACAGGGGGAGTAAAGAAAAAAAAAAAAACCCAGCCACAAACCAGAAATCACTTCTCTGCAATTTTTGCATTTCACAGTAATTAAACTATGAATAGGAATATAGTTACCAGATAATAAGTCCTCCCTCTAAGGTTAAACAGCTAATGATGCTTTTAAAAATATTAACAGTGTAATATGAAACTAATATAAACAAGTAAGATTCCTGACAGTGGGGGAAAAAAAAAAAATTTAGAATGCGCTTCTTTAAGGTTACTACTAAAGGACTCCCATACCATATACCTGAAAACTAAAAGAGTCAAAGCTTTTATCACACATTCTTTAACACATTTTTGTTAGTTTTAACGATCCAAGATACAAAGATAAAATTTTAACTGGCTAGTCTTCTTTTGCTGCTTTAGTGCCACCTGGTGCGCTCTAACCATGGTGCCCAAAACGCAAAGTAGTTTTATTTCTCCCCTCCCCTCAAAGAGGATTTCAATAACAACTCGCATCCCTAGAAAATGTTTTCTTTCTGAGGCACAGGGCAGAAACTCCGAATTCACCAGAGTAGTGGTCAGTTTGTAGGCGATATGGATGTGCACAGCTTTGCCTAATCCTCTTGTTCTGCAGTCACCTGCACTGCTGGGACTCATGAACTCTTTGACTTAAGTCAGAGCTGCCTTAAGTGGTGGCATTAGTTAGTGACCTACAACGGTCCCATTCTGTCAAACAGAATATGGCATGTTTCTGTCCCACACAAAGCCATCTCCACCCTGTCACCAAACGTCACCATCAGAGATCCTACAAGATCTTCAGTTTGACAATCCTCACGCAAGATACTAAATAGGGAAGCTACTGCTTGAGCGGGACACAGGACTTCACTGAAGTTGGACACAAGTTATTTATTCAATTTTGCAGAAGACTGAAAGAACTTTGGACACGTTCCAATTCAAACAAGATGACGAAATACCAGAGTCCTCTGCCTACTGGAATAGTAGCTCTCCACCCAGCTCTGGTGCGAGCTGGGGAGCCTGAAAGACCTGGCACCAAGGTTGCTGACTAGCTGCAAACTGGGACTCTCAGGCTCTCACCTTGCCATCCGCCTGCCAGGTGGGCTGCCGAGGAGCTGGGCCGGCAAACTGGCTGGAAACCAGGGAGGTTTCCCTCAGAACGCTGCTTTGTTTCCGGTGGAATTTCATCAAGATCTGTCTCGCAAACATTTCAATTTCGACAAAAAAAAATTTTGTTGAAATTTTTCTGACCAGTTCTAGAGACTTGAGCCTGATGATCAATCTTGTAAGTCTTGTTAAATTGAAAATGTTAGTATTTTAGGCCAGCACATGCAAAGAGAGACAAAACATACCAAAAATCTTTCCCTGTTTACAGAACCCCCAATGACTCCAGATTAACAATACTCAAATGTTAATGATTATTACCTTAGCCTCCTCCACATATGGTGAGAACAGTCTTGGCCGCACATATATTCCAGCATTTTTTTGCCGCAGCCAGGCATTTGACTTTCCACCTTCTGATGTTGGTAGCATGTCTGAAGGAGGAGTACTAATCAGGCCTCTCTTCATCTTTAAGAATCAAGAAAGAGTTTCAAGGTTTTTTAAATATAAATATGGAAAAAGCTTGCAAGAGATGCATTTCTTATCCTGAAGCCTTACATCACTGATAGATTTAAAGTACAGAAAATTTAACCAGAAAAAGGCACGTATTACTCCGAGTGATAACATTTTAGGAGCTAATCCTCAAAAAAAACCCAAAACAACCTGAACATTGTAGAATCTGAAGTACAAAGAATCCAGAGATAATATTTGTATGAGATTACTGACTTACTGCATCACTGAGTACTTCACTATTCATGGGTAAGATGTGCTCAATGCGGACAAAAGGTAGAAGCGGAGACAGGATCTCTCTCAGCTCCTCAATGTCAAGATCTCTCCTCTTCACACCTCTTTTGTTCACACTGTGAGCAGTACCACTCAGTAAATTAGGCTCTGTGGGAAGAACAAGAAATAGTAAATTTATGTCAAAAAACTTAAATAGGAAAGCAGGAGTTACAGGGCTTGTGGGAAGTTACAGAAAAGGAAAGAAAAGTCTAATTTAATATCAACAGTGCTTATCAGCATTATTCCACAGAACTACTTCATGCCTTAAAATCCAACATGAAGCGTCAGTAGAGTCAGGTTTATGCAAGCATGGGTCTTTGCACTGCTGTCAGTTTCAAAGCATAAGCCAGGGAGAAAACACCGAAGTAGTGTTTGGGATCAACATTTATAAAGCTCTACCTGGAGCTATGCTATGAAAACTTTCATGCCTTGCTGCTAGCAGTTTCCCCAAAGGCTCTCTCCTGCAGCTCCTCTCCCTTCTCCCAGCAGTTTTCAAAGACTTATTTTCTACAAATTAAGGCCTGAAGAGACCACTGGGATAAATTATCCCAGTCTCATGTAAGCCACCCTAGTAACAGCTGTGTCAAGCCCATTCAAGATGCTCTCATGGTCACAGGACACCTATTTATGCCAAGAGTGAGCATCTTCTGAGAGACTGCAAGATGACAACATATGACACTGGGGTCATTCTCACTCCCTCAGTTAACTACCTTCACCTGTACTTTAGGTACTGTGCCCAACCTTACTTTGATTAATTGCACTCTTTGAGGAAACCTGTCAAAACATACCCACCCTCCATTCAGTACAGGCAGCACAAGCTTTGGCCACAGCCCATTACAATTTCTAATGCTTTCTGATATTTGACTGACATCGCCACATATTCAGAGCTGCAAAATCACTGAGGAATTTAGACCATTACTAGACTAAATTTGGTCCTAATCTGACAGAACTCAGCGTAGCTCTTATTTCTGCTTTTGCTTATCATGTTATCTAATGATCCCAGGAAAGATAAGTGAGCCATTTACTTAATGAACACCATAGGAAGCTGCACAATTACTCCAAGTGAGCAGCTTCTCTCCCAGTCCAGGTCTGTTACTGTTTAACTGGCTCCATTACATCCCAGCGTGCTGTAAGACAAACACTTAAAAAAAGTCTTGTTTTGAAGACAGAAGGTTAATACTTACTCAGGTCCCTAAAAGCACATATTCTAACTGACTTTTTGTTGCATTTCATGCAACAGGTCCATGACAAAGCAGTTGTATCGCAAGCAGTAACAGCGGAATTCAAAAACATGGCCAGCCCTCCAAACACAGTAGCTACACCAGCACTGCTCTGTTTTCATACAGGCAGGTTCTTCCCTTTCTGTTCCTCTCATTGTACTATCTGATTGACACTTCATGGTGTCACTTGCATTTGTTATTTGGGAAATCTATATTTAACCTACTTCCCACATCCAACACATGTGCAATTGCCCTTGAAGTTACCACTGTATCAATAATATGCATCTGAGCTAATAAAAAACCATTTACATCTACTTCATGAAAAACACTGATGCCACTTGATGGCTTGTTTCTCACTACCACAGATTTCTGGGGGAGAAACGCACTCAAACTGAAGTTAAAGGTTGACACAGTAAACTAAGAATAAGACTACTGTGAGAAGCCTGCATGAGAATAGAAAAGTTAAAAGATACTGCAGATTTTCTTTATTTGATGAATTAATTACAAGAAAAATAATTCTGAGACAACAGGAAATCAACCAGACTTAAAAATTTGACAGTGGTAGAGGTTGAAAGGACCTCTAAAATTCTGGTTCAGCCACAATCACCACCCTCTTCCCACACCTTCCCAGGCAGGGTAGAGCAGGTTGCCCATGACTACATCCAGTTGGGTTTTGAACATCTCCAGGGATGGAGACTCCGTACTACTCTGGGCAACCTGTTCCAGCATCTGACCATCCTCACAGTTTCTTGCGTTTAAACAAAATTTCCTGTATTTCAATTAATGCCTCATTGCCTCTCACCCTGTCCTGGGTGCCAAGAGAAGAGTGTCACTTTATTTTCTTCGCTTCCTGCCATTAGATATGTATAAACTTTGCTAAGATCCCCCCATAACCTTCTTTTCTTGAGGTCTAAACAACCCCAGCTCCCTCAGATCGCCAGCATTCTCAATTTTTAGAGAACAAAAGCTTTTTTTTTAAAAAAAAAAAAAAAGTATTTGTTTAGTTTTGAGCGTATGAACAAAGTGGACTAAATTTCCTTAAGTTACAGGTTACCCACAAAAAAAGAAATTCCATACGTTTTGGTTTATTTGGTTTAGTACTGTGTGGTTTAGAGGATCCTTACCTCGATCTGCTATTCTTTTCATCAACTGGTGTTCTCCCCATTTAATCAGATATTTAAGAATATCTTGTTCGCTTGCCTGGTAGAAAGAGAAAGTCAGCAATCTGTATATGCTTAGTTTATTGTCACACATACACACACACAAAAATGACATACACAGGTCTTTTACAGCTATGAAAAAACATAACTGTACCGACAGCAAAGTAAGTTTTTGTACTTTATGTTCTGCTATACCACTTCCTCCAAACATTTTAAGGTAATACTACTGATATATCACCACCATGATTTCTAGATCCATGTCACTTACTAAATTCCTAAGAAGAAAAAAAAATTTTTTTCTCTCTACAGAAGGAAAAATTTTGTCCAGCCTGAAGACTTACAAGTGTTAAAATTTGAATGATTCAAGTTAATTAAAAGGGGCAGTTCTAACACTGGGTGTTTGGATCTCTTGTTTAGCATTAAATTCAGCATCTGCAATAAACTCAATTGTAATCTAGGTGAAAAGAAAGATTTTCATTAATACTATAAACAAAAAAACCTTTGCTATTTTCATACCTATATACATGTGCTAGCCAGTGAACATTTTTAGAGGAAAAAAATCATGAACTGAAAAGTTTAAATTTATCTACCTAATTTCTTAACAACTAGCGTAGGAAATTTAGTGATACTATACACTCTCATGGAAGATGAACAGTACTGTTATTGTAATTCCTGAAATGTTTAAAATAAACATTTTTAAAAAAACACTTTAAATAATCTCTAACAGTTAAGTAAGACTGGGACGGATATAGTTAAAAAAATCCAGTCATCCTTAAACTATAAAAGGCTGATCATCATTATTAAAGATATCTCCCCTGAAGAGAAGTGGCAGCAAAAATCCACAAGCTTTCCATTAGTCAGTATGGTTTCCTCTCCCTAAAACCACACAATCACTGAAGGAAAGTTAAAAAACATTCTGCAGTACTTGCCAGGAAAAGTACTTTTATGTCTTCCCTAAAAAATGAATTAAGCCTTCTGAACAATTACTAGCTCCCACTGCCCCCAACTAGGACGTACATTGTTACAGCTAAACTACTACTAGCACATAATTTTTATAAAACACTTAAATATGCAAGGCAAATGTTAGGTTCAGAAATGCTTCATTTAAAGTAATTTGCAGCCATTTCTAAACTATTATTAGGCTTCTAAGCAATAGCATATACTGCCAGTTTGGGTTGTGTTACAAGCCAAGAACAAAATAGTTTTCTTAGTCACTATTTCAATTTTATTTTTTTACATCTTATAAAGGAATGCTTAGTGTGCATACAAATGCACTCTTGTCTACAATTTAAAATTAGCTACTCCCAAGTGCTTCCAGTAATGGTGTATCATATCCTGCTTCAAGCAGGACCAGCTGTATTGTGCATCGCAGGTTACCTGTAAATAGTCAGACTGAATAGCTGTGAGCAGGTGGTCCTTGCTGAGTTCATAGAAGACATCTGAAGTCATGACCTGGGTAAACTCCTCACAGAGGAAATGTAGTGCTTGACGATGTACCCACTTGGAACCGTACGGCTGAGAGCTCCACTTCAGAATGGCAATTAAGGTGTCTAGTGAGATGCTCTCGGCAATAATATCTTCACAGCCTATGAAAAAAAAGCAAAAATCAATGATGTTGTTACAGAGGCACTTTGATCCTGAAGAAATCATACATATGGCTAAATCTGTAATATAAAGGGTTTTATGACTCCCAGTGAGAGTAAAAACAGAAGTGCCCTACAGACCAAGGTTGCAAATGGGGTTAAATTCTGACTAAAAGTATAACAATTTCATTTGTGGTTTAGGATTCCAACTATACAGTCATTTACCTTTTAAAGGCACACGAAACATCATGTCTACTATTGTGCCTGGACGAACAATTGGAAAGCTAGTTCAGCCCTACTAGAACCTCCCTTGGTTAATATACGTTATCTGACTGTGTAACACATTTTAAAGTTGCAAATTTGAATTTGAGTCACTGTTATTTAGAACAGATTCACAGAAGCCTATAAACCCATAACAGAGGTGGGATTTTGGTCCACACTACTTTGCATGTGTGCCCGCCTAAGACAGACTGTGCAGAGGAGCAGAAACAAAAGCTGTGACATATTGCTGGTACTCAGCTACCCAGCACAGGATGAGGGCAGCAAAGCATCACATTCTGACTCGAAGGGAAGGTAGGAAGCAGTGGGAGTTGCTCTAGGCCACCAGCCTGGTCTCCCTATAAGCACGGCACAGAGGGTGCCAGGACAGGGAGCACCTCATCCGGCAGGGAAGCAGAAAGTGAAGCACCCAAGGAGGCAGTGTTTCCAACAGGTGGCAAATCCGCTACAGTTTTTTTGTACCCACTGCCGCATTAAGGATTTACTCTGTCACAAAGTACGTGTCTTCTGAAGAAGAGACAGGGGATACCCAAGTATCCTGAAGATGGAGCAGATTTGGAAGAAATGAGGGGAGATGTACCACGGGAGGGCTGAAAACACGGCTACTTGGGGTTACCGAGTTAAGACAGATGGTACCAAATGTTGGTAACTTGAAGTCTCCGATAGCACTTTGCTGATTTCATTTGTACATCTGGTTTACATACACACAGAATACTATTTCTATTTGTACTATAAAGACAGCAATTTAAAGGAAAAAAAAAAAATCCTGTCCTGGAATTATACATTCCAGTCTCAACCCACTAGAGCCACAAAAGTACAGCCGTGCTTATGCCCATGAGAGGTCCCCAGACTGTTCAGAGCAGCACGCTTACACTGCAATTATTTTACTTTTTATACATTATGATTTTTCTCTCAGTTTCAAGGATATTTAAAAACTAAACTTTGTCAGTTGTTTAGAGAACTGTATCTCATTACTGAGCTCTTGGACTAAGCTGAGTAAGATGGGGTTTAGCATGGTAATCTTAAGATTTGTCAAGACAAAGATCAAAGAGGCTCTCCTGATGCTATGTACTTTTGAACTGCTTGCATACATGCAAGACACACTACCAGTAATTAATACAGTTAAAAGAAAAATCTTACTTTTTTACATAAGCCAGCATACACAACATAAGCATTGACTCCATCTCTGTTGCAACTAATAGTGTGAAGGATAAGTTACTAAGGCGTAAATAGTACTGAGTGAATGTGCAACTTCAGGTAGAAAAGGTATCTGTCAAAGGAACTGCTACTTAGGGGCAAAGCCACTGAAAAGGGAAACTTAAACAGTAAGGTAAAGAAGGTGGTACTAGGAAGCAACAGTTTAAACATGAGGCAGATTATAAATGTACCTGTCCTATTAAACAAATGTATTTCTACTTCATACTATAAAAAAGCCAGCATGTTAATTATGAGAACAATATTCCACCACTAAAATTTTCTAAACTTAAGTATAAAAAAAAAAATACTGTGAATATAATAAATACAGGTCAATGCTCAATGAGAATGTTTGCAGCAAATTCCAGGAATATGTCTGAATGTATACATAGTTTTGGAAACAATTTTTATTTCTTTTTTTAAAGGAATTTATGAGAATAATGCCTGTCCCCCCAAACAGTAATAAATTTTACACCAGTTCATATTTAAAACAAACTTTTCTCAACAAGCACTTGGATGATTTGTTTTTCACATGCCCAATTCACCTACGAAAAGGAAGACCGTATATCAGTGCAGCCACTGGCAGAAGAGCTAACAAAGCACGTACATTTCTGAATGATTCATTAAAGACCGCATTACACTATTCATCCCAAATTAGACCCTCCATTTGCTTTTGACAACGGGGTAAGTGTTGAGTCATGTTTCAATACACCTGCGTCCTTTACCATTACTGAAGTAATACAGAGCTACCTATTACCATTACGTTACTTATTATTATTATTATTACTATAAGTAAAAACAGGTGCCTTACTATAGATATCAACCTCTAACCTGCATGGTGAGGACTAGCCTGAAGTCAGCAGGGAACATGCAGCACAGTTTGGTTGCAGGTACTTGGAACATCAGCCTGATCATCACTGGTACAAATGAGAGCAGAGGATGAGAACTGCTCTGAAATACACTCCTTAGGTTTTGGTACAGGTTAGAGAAACTGCCCCCCCCTAGATGGGGGAATTCCCCAGAAGCCTGAAGGATAAACCTCACCCATAATTCTTAAAAAATTCTAGTGTTTAAGAAAAAAAAAACCAAACCAAAACATACCCTTAATAAAGCTCAAAATATGTCAGACATGAGTAAACGAAGTCTGAAGCTTTCCACTTCAGTATCCACTTCTACTTACAATTTTCCTTACATTTTTACTTACATAGTTAATGGCTGACACTGTATTTGTCATGCAAGTCCCTCTTACTTTCCCTTTCGCTCAAAAGAGGAAAACATTAAGTTAGCAGCAAAGCTGGCACGGTGAATGAAAGCTGACCACGACTAGCTGCAGTACGCTTAAGAGAGGAGTTTGCTTCCCTGAGTAAGAAACACACAGTTGTTTGAAACAATTCTTTAGGGTCATCTGTTGTGTTGCACTAAGCCTTGCCCTGCTAAATCCTAATGCAACTTCTTGCATGTAATTATTCTGTTTGCATGAAAACTGACTTCAGCAGATGATTAAATCCCTCTGAAGTCTAAAGATTACAAGTAAGGCCTGTTCCATTTCAAAGGCAGCACGTAAGCCCACTCACTGAAATCAGTCACGAGGAAACTCCAACTGTAAAAGCAAAGAGACTTATCTCAAAGCGAATGCCGTTCATACTACTTCATCTAACATTTATTTTTGAAACAGAAAGTATACCTGTCCCCTGCAAAGACAGTAAACTACATTTCCACAAGAAATGCACTTCCAAAGATCTGAGCAACACTGATTTATAGAGACAGGGCATCAGCTCAGTCTCAATTCTTCTGTCAAGTCCAATTATTGCACACCTACTGATAATATGACATCATCAAGTGAAAAGCTCATTTAGGATGCCTAGCAAGCAAAACAGTCCTTTTCCTAAGTAATTTTAGCAGTATGTCAGAACTGTGGGATCATTTAAAGTATTTTTTTCCGAAATAAACATGAGGCAATAATTAAAGTGTTTTCTGAACACCTAAATAAACTGGGGCAACCCAATTCTATCTATGGAAGGAATCCAATTTCTTTTCTTCTTTGGCAGAAGAGGGGGGGAGGTTTTGCTTTAAGAATCAACCACTTGGCAAAAAAAAAGCAGTCATCCAATAGCCACAATACTGTTCTTCACAGTGGAATAAAGCATTATTCTCCTGTGAGTACTGTTTTATAATCTTCAAGCAGCAACAGCCTTTCCAAGATCCGTTTGCAGTGTCCCAAAGTGCTCTACTACAAGCTTCTGTGACCGTTAGTATCTTTCAGAGATTCAATTTGGAGTCTCAAATGAAAGTGGACCATCGCATTTTGAACAAATAAGGCTACTCCATGCACTACTTTTGCTGGATACCAATAGGTCTTGCCTACAAACAAGTCCTTTTTGCTTCCCCAAGTCTCTCAAATGCAATTCCACAGCCCTTCCACATAGAAATAGCTTGAGCCCATGTTTAGCATGCTAGCTAGTAGCTTGGGATCTTACCACGACAGTTGACAGACCTACAAAAGACAAATTTACAGTCAGCAAAAGTAGATTAAGCAATTTTTACTACAAAATCATTAGCTTGATTTAACTGATTCTGTGGTGGAGACCTTTCCCCTAAACTTATGCAAACCAGTGGAGCCAATAAAAAAACCAGTAAGAATTCATCTTGACACTGAACTGGAATGTAAAAGCTAGTCAATGTTTTCTTAAGTTTGCTGCATTAGGAGAGACCATGCTGGCAATCAGGAACCATACTTTTGGAATTTGCTGGCATGTATAGAGCAATTCAGAGGCATGACCTGTCGCTAGTCTGGACTGCACCATGTTTGGAAGTCCCAGAGATGGTTGCCTATACCCATGCATGAGCACCCTTGCTGTTCTAACCAAGCTTCTGATGGGAAGAGAAAGGAAAAAAGGGAGACAACATTTGTTCAGCCTGTTTCCCACGTCTTACAGATCCAAAGATGCAAATGTTTCCTGTACTTGCTAAGGATTCCTTAGAAGGCAGCTCACACTCCCAGGCTGTGGGAGCAGCTATGGGAGCTAACCCCCTTGTATTAAACCACATTGTCATCTTACACTCTACATCTCCTGCTCTTCTGTCACACTGATGCTTGGGTGGCCACTCAATCAACTAGTTAACTATTTTCTGTCAGTCCTGCTTCCAGCAACATTAAATCACCAATAGCACAAACCCTAGCTGCCAGCATAGAGAACAGAAAACAAGGAGGCTAATGCAGGATGCAGGGCAGCAGTACCACTTTTGTCGATTCAAGTGACCTCATACAACTCGAGACACATAGCAATAGGAATTTAGGTTCTCCACAGCAGTAGGCAAAACATCGGTTACAAAAACAGTTAAGAGCAAGTCAGAAGACTTACATAGTACAAACAGGAAATTACACCTTTTTAACTGGTTATCACATAAGCAGCAACTGCAACAACCTCTACTTTCCTATAACTGTACTGTTAACAAGGGATCTTGTTCAGCATCCATCTTCTGGATGCAGGCTGACTTTCACAGTTTATTAATAATTTATTGCCCCCTGG